TATGTTCAGATATTCTTAACCTTTAAGCATGACATCAGGGAGGACAAATTTGTCTTCCCATAGTGTGCCTTTTGAAGGTGGCTACTGATAAGAGAATGCTTCGCCGGGTTATATATGTGTCCTCTTTTTCCGTGGAAAAGAACATTTATTAAAGTTGCCATTCCTGAGGTCTTTCTTACTGCCAGGAAAAGTGGGGGAAAAAAAAAAAAAAGCAAGATGAAGTCAGATACAGGGCAAGCCATTTAATGTTGCCAGGTGCCTAGAAAGTAACAGAGTGCAACTGGGTGATGTGTTAAAAAAGTCTTTCCTAGCTCTAATGTGCTAATGATTGACAAGAGAATGTGCTGCCTATCCAACTCATGTTAGCATTTATAGCTTCCTCTAACTATAATGCAGCACAGTGAATGACGTAAGGGATTGCACATAAGGAATGTTCTGGTTGCTTAATACTTTCTCTGTGTCTCTCAACTCAAACCAGGTAGGTAGTTCTATACCTAGACTTCTCATCTAGGTATAGAACTCATCTAGTTCTAGGCACCACATTTGCATTAGTATACTTGCTTGTGATCCCATATATATCTAATAAACTTTATAAAGATTAAGATATATTTTTGCTCAAGCTTCATTTAACTTAATTTGAATATAGCCATGATATTTCAAATACAAAATATGGGTCTAGAACTGAATATCTAACCATAATGTGCTTTCTGCACAATTATAGTGTGAAAATGACATCTTCATGAAATCGAAACATAATGGAAAAAATTTAGCATTCCAAACTAACTTAAAATGCCAGGAAGTGCCTTGATCTGAATCAGAGCTTATGTTACCATACTGGTTTCAAGGTAAAGAAGTAAAGAATAACATAAAATGTTTGAAATGATATCTGGAAGAAAATGTCTTTTGAGAAACATAATAATGAACTTGAAGTGGTCTTCTCTAGTAAATGGAAATAGAACAAAATCTCCCCAATCATAAAGCATTTCCAAAATATAAATTTTTCTTTGACACAGCGTATATATTACCAATCAAGAAAGGGACAGTTATACACTTCTGTTCTCATATGACAAATCCTAATCAGAAAAGATGAAGTGCTCTTTAAGATTTCCTAGTCCCCTAAAAATAAATCCAATTAATATGTTTGTTTTATGTAAGCAAACTTTTGGCATTTATAGTCTGCAATAATTGTGACTAAGAGCTTCCTAACAATATGTAGCATCATGTCTATTTGGAATTATATCTTAAAATTATTTATCATTATTTATGTATAGAAAGACATGATGACATATTCTCATCATAGGACTAGAATAATCTTGAAATTCATATGGAACCACAAAGGACCTCAAATAGCAAAAGGAATCTTGAGAAAAAAGAACAAAGTTAGAGGTCTAAAAATACCAAATTTCAAGATACAGTACAAAGATATAGTATTCAAAGGGTATAGCAGTGGCTATACCACTGGGTATAAATTAATGGAACAAGGTAGAGAGGCCAGAAATAAACCTACACTTATACAGTCAATTAGTTGACAACAATGGGGGTAAGAATATATGATAGGGCTAAGGACAGTCTTTTCAATATATAGTATTGTGAAAACTGGACAGCTACAAGCAAAAAAAAAAAAAAAAAAAAGCAAGTGGACCACTCCCTTATACCATATACAAAAAAAAAAAAAAAAATCAAAATGGATTAAAGATCTAAATGTGAGACCAGAAACCATACAACTCCTAGAAGAAAACATAAACAGTAAGCTCTTAGACATCACCCTTAGCAATGTATTTATAGATGTGACTCCTCAGGCAAGGGGGAAAAAAAAGCAAAAATGAACTATTGGGACTACACCAAAATAAAAAGCTTTTGGAAAGCAAAGGAAACCATTAACAAAACAAAAAGACAACCGAGTGAATGGAGAATGACATTTGCAAATGATATATCTGATAAGGAGTTAATAAACAAAACATAGAAAGGACTTACAAAATTCAACACTGAAAAAGCAAACAATCTGATTAAAAAATGGGTGAAGGATCTGAATAGACGTTTTCCCAAAGAAGACATACAGATGGCTAATAGCCAGATGAAAAGATGCTTAATTAACGCTGCTAATCATCAGGGAAATGCAATTCTCCAAATCATATTTGTATGATTCTCCAAATCGCATTTGTACTTGCAGCTTCCTCTAAATATAACCCAATCAGAATGGCTAGTAGCAAAAGCAGTAAGTGTTGGCAAGGATGTAGAGAAAAGGAATCCCTTGTTCATTGTTATTGGGAATGTAACATGGTGCAACCACTATGGATAGCAATATGGAGGTTCCTAAAGAAATTGAAAAGAGAAATACCATATGATACAGTAATTCCACTACTGGGTATTTACCCAAAGAAAACAAAAACACTAATTCAAAAGATATATGTACCCCTATGATTATAGCAGCATTATTTACAATAGCCAAATTGAAAGCAACCCAAGTGTCCACTGATAGATGAATAAAGAAGATGTGGTATATAAATACAAAAAATAATCATCAGTCATAAAAGGGAATGGTATTTGCCATTTATGCCAACACAGGTTAACCTAAAGGGTATTATGCTAAGTGAAATAAGTCATACAGACAAAGACAAATACCATATGGTTTAACTTATATGTGGAATCTAAAAAACAAAACAAATGAACAAACACAGGGACAAAGCATATTCTTAAATACAGGGAATAGACTGGTAGTTGCAGAGGGGAAGTGGGTGGGGACATGGGTGAAACAAGTGAAGGGGATTAAGAGGTACAATCTTCCAGTTACAGAATAAGACATGGAGATGAAAAGTACAGTATAGGGAATATAGTCATAATATTGTAATAATATTGTATGATGACAGCGACTACATCTACTGTGGTGAACACTGTACAGAATTGTCAAATTACTATGCTGTATGACTAAAATTAATATATCATTGTATGTCAACTATACTCCAATAATTAAAAAATTATTAATTACTATAATCAATGATGTATTCTGAATTTTATCAAGTTACATCTCAGCACATATGCAGACGCATAATGAAGTTTTTCCTTTTCATTATTAACATGACTATATTAATACATTTTCTAATATTAAACTATACTTGCTGATATGAATCCCATATACATATGACTAATGTAATAGGTATTTTAATAAGTTTCTGGTTTATACTAATATTGAAGGTTTCTACATTTATAATCTTAAGTAAAGAAAGGTCTGTGTGTGTGTGTGTGTGTGTGTGTGTGGGTGTGTATGATATTGTGTGATAGTATCAGTGTTCAACTGACTTTTTCAAACAGTTTGGAAGGACTCTTTCTATCTCTGTTCTCTATAGCCCTTTAAAAAGCATCAAAACACCATGACTACATAGGGTTATTTTAAAAACTTGTAGACAAAGGAAAACACACATATACAAACACTCACATATGCAGAAAAAATGTACGGGACTAATGGACTCATATCACAAAGAGCTGATTTCTCTAATATATAAACATTACCAGTATATCAGAAAGAAAAAAATAGCCAGTAAGTTTAGTAGAATAAAAGGTAAAGAACATAAACACACAACAATAAGGAAATAAATACAAATGACTCTTATGTGTATGAAAAAATGATCAACTGCATTTAATAACACGAGAAGACAAATGTGTATAACAACTGCCATTAGAACCATTTCATTGGCAAAATGAAATGATTTATATTTGAAAAATATAAATATAAAAAATATAAATTTGCCACCTTGGTGGCAAGGTGTGGGGAAAGAGACAATTTTACTGCTGGTGGGAATATAAATTGGTATAACTATGGGGGAGCATACTTTGTAAAAATCTAAAAAATATACAAATACATTGTACCATCAATTCTTCCTCTATAAATTTATCTTGCAGACTTATTGCTATGTATGTGACATGAAATATTAAAACAGCGTATAATTATTGAGTGCTCACTACATGCCACTCACTGTTCAAGCTCCTTATAAAGTTACTTTTGTAAAATGAAACATGGTAAGTACTGGATATGAATATAAAAGACAGGCAGTCTACTTCTAGTTTTGCCTCCACTTTGCCAATACAATGTACTACCTCTCAAAATGTGCAAGGGTATTATTCACTGCTGTATTTTCTGCAACAGCTATGTAACACAAAGGACTATTAATAGTAGACTAAATAATTATAGTGCATGCAAACAGTGATGAATACATGAAGAGTTTAAAAACAAAAAGAGGGGCACCTGGGTAGCTCAGTCAGTTAAGCGGCCAGTGTCAGCTCAGGTCATAATCTCATATCTCATGGTTTCGAGCCCCACATTGGGCTCTGTGCTGACAGCTCAGAGCCTGGAGCCTGCTTCTGTTCTGTGTCTCCTTCTCACTCTGTCCCTCCCCCACTCACATGCCGTCTCTCTCTCTCACACAAAAACAAATAAATTTTTTTAGAAAACAAAACAAAACAAAAAGAATGTCAAAGCTTTTTTTAAGAACTGATATGGAAAGCTCTCTAACACATACTAGGTGAAGACAGCAGAACAATGTGTATACTATATATACTATATATCCTACTATATATACATATATGGAAATGACAGAAAACAACATTATACATACATAATCCTATGTACTTTTTTAGGCATGGATTATCTCCAGAAGGATACACAATAAACTGGCAACAATGGTTACCTGGGAAGGGAAATGCTTGGCTGGGACATGAGGGAATGGAAACTTATTTTTTACTTCTGTACATTGTGTACACTTATCCAGTCAATACAAATAAACAGTTTCAAAAATAAAATACATGGAAGGTAAAAAATTAAAAAACTGCCATTACCTACTTCTTTTATTTTATACATAGACCCTCCACACAAGATTTTACTTAAAGAAATTATTCCATAATCACCAAAAGTTTGAAAAACACTGGAATAAAAAATGGCTAATAAAAGCTTAATGTTCACCATAAATATGTGAGGATTAAAATTAATAGAAAGTAGTTTGTCATACCTCATATGGGCATTACAGTATCTTTTGGCATACTCGGTCCATGTTCCAAATTTTTGTGGAAAGAGAGCTTCAATCTGCATGAAAAGCTGTAACAATACAAGTGTTCTCAATATGTTGCAACATTTTGAAGTAAATATTACTACTATGATAAGTCTAGTTAATAAAATAATAAAAAATAAAATCTACCTCTTCTTTCTCAAGCCTCCTTCCCCTTCATCCTCCCACCTCTGCCATCCTATTCTTCAGGGATAACTGCTATCCTTTTCTCTAATATACAGTTGCAGAGTCTTTATGCCCACATAAGGATATGTCTACAGTAAAACCTCGGATTGTGAGTAACTTGTTTTGCGAGTGTTCTGCAAGATGAGCAAACATTTCTAATTAATTTTAATTTGATAAATGAGCAATTTCTTGCAATACAAGTAGTATGTCATGCTGCACGTCACATGATCACAAATGATCCAATGGTTCTTCACACTCTCTTCTCTCTCTCTCTCTCTCTGAGAGAGTGTGGATGATCATCTCCCATGTTAGGATGCTTGGTCTCAAGCTGTGGTGTTTGGAAAAAATCAGTGATTTCTCACAACACTTGGAAGGTGCCCACAACTAGCACTAGTGGTTTTTTTTTTTTTTGTTTGTTTGTTTTTGTCATTTCAAAGCACCCTACAGACAATCCTTTGCTTTTCCATAAGAGACTAAGCTTAGGAATACTTTGCTTCCTTCTAGGTCATGCTGCCTGCAGATATAGACCCTTTTCTCTGCTGCTTTACTGCCAGTTATATTAAATAGAGTATATGACAATACTGTAGTAACATTCATTAGTGATAATGAAAGTCATCCTACACAATAACCCTTGTCTCTTGTCTCCCTTACACCAGGCATAAAGGTTTTCAAAGGTAAGTATAAGATCATTTGTTTATTTTTCTTGATATTTTGTATGTTAAAATTATTTTGTGTTATATTACAGTATTGTAATCATTTTATATCAATATTCTTGGGTTGTGGAACAAATCATCTGAGTTTCCATTCTTTTTTATGGGAAAATTCACTTTGATATACAAGTGCTTTGGATGACAAACATGTTTCTGGAATGAATTATGCTGACAAACCAAGGTTTTACCATATATTCTCTTTTATTCACATGAAGATGATCATATTATACATATACAACTAGAATGTTGTCTCCTAAAACATGTCTTAGACCTCATTAAAGTACACATACATCTATTTGTACTTAGTTTTAAAAATTAACTGAGTATTACTATATTAAAGCATTGTTTAAAGGCTCATAACACCCATTACTACATAGAAATACTGTAAAATATTTAAACAGTCTCCTGGTCATAGACATATAGGCCTTTTCTAGCTTTTATACAGTTATAGAAGTTAGTAACTTCATGTAAGTCTTTGTATGTGTATGTGTGTGTATATAAACATATACAGGTGTAGGTATATGTATCTGCAAGATCCATCAATCATTTATCTATTCATAAGACCGTAGAATATATTTTTAGAAATGAAAGGGGTGGGCTTAAGGTATATGATTTTTAAAGTTTGATGGATGTTACTGTGTTATGCTGTAAAATGCAAAAAACATCCCAATTTATATTCTCATTGATAACATCATGAAATCTTTTCATTTTCATGACTTTGATAGGTTGCCCATATGTCTCACTGTCATTTTAGTATGCTTTTTAAAATTAGCGGCTTCAGGGGCGCCTAGGTGGCTCAGTCGGTTAAGCATCTGACTTCCACTCAGGTCGTGGTCTCACGGTTCATGGATTTAAGCCCCACATCAGGCTCTGTGCTGGCAGCTCAGAGCCTGGTGCCTGCTTCAGATTCTGTGTCTCCCTGTCTCTCTGCCCCTCCCCTGCTCATGCTCTTTCTCTCTCTCAAAAATACATAAACATTAAAAAAAAAAATTAGCGGCTTCAGGGAATCTACTCCACAACCAAAAGCATACTGTATACACTGTATGTTAGTCAACCCGACAATAAATTATATTAAAAAAAACCAACAAAAAATAAAAATAAATACAATTAGCACCTTCACTGAGAAATAATTCCTGTATCACTTACATTGTTCACACTTTTACAATGTATAATCCACTGGCTCTTCATATATTCACAAAATGCCTCAGTGACCACTATCTAATTCTGGAATATTTTTATCAAAGGAACCCCATACCCATTCCTAGTCATTTACTATTCTCCCTCTCCCCTAATCCTGGCAATCACTAATCTGATTCCTATTTCTGTTAATTTGCCTTTCCTAATACTTCACATAAATAGAATCATACGGTATGTAGCCTCTGTGTCTGACTTCATTCACTTAGCATAATGCTTTCAAGGCTCAACCATGTTATAGAATGTATTAGTACCTCATTCCTTTTTATAGCTGCATTTTCATTATCCATTCATCAGTTATGGACACTGGCTTCTTACTACTTTCTCAATACTACAAATAATGCTACCATGAACATCTGTATGTATACAATTTTTTGTGAATTTGTGTTTTCAGTTTTCTTGTGTATATATTTAAAAATGCAATTGCTAGGCCTCATGGTAAATATTTTTACCTTTCTAAGTAACTGCCAACATGTTTTCCAAGGAGTAAAATTTATAGCTATGTATATCTATGTTAAAAAGAAGAACAATCTCAAATCGATAAGCTAATTTTCTACCTTAACACACTGAGAAAGAAAAAGTAAACTAAACACAAAACAGAAAGAATACATAATAAAGACTAGAATGGGAATAAACAAGACAGAGAATGGAAAAACAACAGAAAAAAAAAAATCAATGAAACCAAGTACTGGTTTTTGAAAAGACTGAGAAAATTTTGGCTAGACCACCCAAATTAAAAAAGAAAAAGAAGAGTCAAGTTAACAAAATCAGAAATAAAAGAGGGAACATTACTATCAACCTCATCAAAAAGAAAGGGAATGCAATGAACAAATGTATACTACTAAATTAGATTACTTAGATAAAATGGAAAAAAGCCTAGAAAGACACAAAGTATCAAACTGACTCAAGAAGAAATACACAATCTAAACAGACATATATTCAGTGAAGAGACTGAGTTATTAATTTAAAAAATATCCACAAAGAAAAACTCAAACCATGATGGCTTCACCACTAAATTCTACCAAACTTTTAAAAATGAAGTAATACCAGTATTTCACAAACTCCTCTAAAAATCAGAAAAGGAGAGAATACTTCCCAACTCATTCTATGAAACCAATATTGCTTTGATAACAAAACTTAAGATATAATAGGAAAACTATAGATCAATATCTCTCGTGAATAAACACACAGAAATCATCAACAAAATAAAGCAAACTGAATCCAGCAACAAATAAAAGGATGACACATAGTCAAGTGAGATTTATCATAGAATGCAAGGTTGGTTTAACATCTGAAATCAATTAACATAATACACCTTATCAAGAACTATCACCCAGGCTTGGCTTACTAATCAAATAATAACAATGGCTACTTATGTTAAGTGTTTACCATGTGCCAGGACACACAACAAGATACTTTCAAACCAGTATTTCCTTTAATTCTTATAACCACAAGACAAAAAGCACATTGTTTTTTTATGACTCAGTGTTCATTAATAGAAAGGTCTTCTCTAGGTTACAGTGACCCTTACAAACTCATAACAATTTCATTCATCATTTATTCTTCCCACTCCATATTCTAAATGGCTCTAAGAGTGGTAAGGCTAAATGAAGTATCAAACAAATGCCTTATTCCTTCATTCTAAGTATTTACCCTATCTGATCTGAACATAAGTACGAATTTCTCTATATCTTTCCAACCATGGCTTCTGTAGTGAAAGAGAAATAGAAAGAAGTTTCTGTAATGCAATACAAGAGACATAAAATAGAATAACATCCAATTCTAAGAAGCTTATAATGTAAAACAAGCTGGATAAGTGAAGATTAAAACCATATTAGAACCATAAGAAAATAAATGTGATGAATATTACAACTTTATACTAAATATGAAAACCTTATGCAAAAAGTAAAAACTATTTTTTATATACATGTACAAGTATAGAACAGGCTCATATATAAACAGAGAAAACACTCTGGGAATGTGAACTGGTGCAGCCACTCTGGAAAACAGTATGGAGTTTCCTCAAAAAGTTAAAAATAGAACTATCCTATAATCCAGCAATTGCACTACTAGGTACTTATCCAAGGAATACAGGTATGCTGTTTCGAAGGGGCACATGCACCCCAATGTTTATAGCAGCACTATCAACAATAGCCAAAGTATGGAAAGAGCCCAAATGTCCACTGATGGATGAATGGATAAAGATGTCGTATATATACATACAACAGAGTATTACTCGTCAATCAAAAAGAATCAAATCTTGCCATTTGCAACTACGCGGATGGGACTAGAGGGTATTAAGGTAAGTGAAATTAGTCAATCAGAGAAAGACCAAGATCGTATGACTTCACTCATATGAGGACTTTAAGACAAGAACAGATAAACATAAGGGAAGGGAAGCAAAAATAATATAAAAACAGGGAAAGGACAAAACATAAGAGACTCTTAAATATGGAAAACAAACAGAGGGTTACTGGAGAGGTTGTGGGAAGGGGATGGGCCAACTTAGTAAGGGGCATTAAGGAATCTACTCCTGAAATCATTGTTGCACTATATGCTAACTAACTTGGATGTAAATTTTAAAAATAAATTTAAAAAAAAGAAGGAAAAAAAAAGAGAAAACATTCATAGTAAAAGATGTATCTAATCATTAATGGCCATCTAGAAGTTCCCAAAATACTCTTCTAGCATTTGAAGCAACTAATTTAAAATTAAACACTGCAAAACAGGTGAATGGTATATATATTTTTAAAGCCAAAGTATAAGGATTCTAATACCTCTTCAGGCCTTCCCAAAGCTGGAGTTCCTGTAAGAAGAATGGCTCGTTTGGCTGTCTGTACTATTGGCAATAAAATCTTGCTGCGGGTTGCATTCCTGGACTTCATGTAGTGTGATTCATCCACTATAACAACCTGGAAATTCTGATTATTCAGTGCACTTATCAAAGTCTCTGCATCTGTGGCTAAAAGACCATAACCCAGAACTGTCACTTTGCTTGTCGATATTCTTCTAGAAAAAAAGAAAAAAAAAATCCAAGGAGTTTAAAAATATTTCAGTAACCAATTTATCATAAACAATACAACTTTGGGAAGAAATTCAGATGAAATAAGAAAAAAGGGTGAAAAATAAAGGGATGGTATTATACTGCTGAAACTCAATTTCTCTTAAGATTTTGTAGTTTTCAAATATGATAAGCAAGAATGCAAAATTTAAAATTTTGGTTAACCAAAACCAAATCTTTGGTAAATTGTCTTTGGAGGATTCTGACATCTACCAAGCCACATTTTACTAGAAGAAGGTATTACTTTCTGAGAATATTTGCTCCCAGGCATCCAGAATTATGGATAAAATGGAGATTCAAATATTGGGTGAATCTTCCTTCAAGCCTTCTTGAAAAAGGCTTGAAAGAAAACAGCAGTATTTTTCAACCCAGGTGTTACTGGAATTTTAAAGACAATACTTAGTATTTAAGGGCTGTCCAGTGCATAGCAGGGCGTTTCATATTCCAGACTGTCTCCCTAAGGCCAGCAGAGTCCTTGAAACCATGACAACAAAAACTCCCCAGCCATGGGGGGATGAAGTATGGGAAAGGAGAGGGGTACCACTTTATGCAGAGAAACACAGGGCTAAAGAGATCTCTTATTTTCTGTACTATTCATACATCTATAGTATTATTTACCATGCTATAATGAAATTATTCATTTACGTATTTACCTCCCTTGCTATCTTGCAAAATTAATGAGGACAAAGAAATATGTCTTATTCATCTTTGTATATACACTGCTATGCTCCCAATGAGGTTGTAGAATTAAATAGTTTCACAAATAAATGAAAAAAACAAACAAACAATAAAACACATTACTTTTGCATTTCTGTAACACCAGTGAAAAAATACAGGACAGTCTTTTGCAGTTCTCTACTCTCTAAGAGAAAAGACAGAGCTCCTAAATATCACAACACTACAACAATTACATTTAAATTTTTTTTATTTAAAAAATTTTAATTCCAATGTAGTTAACATACAGTGTTATATTAGTTGTATTCAGTTGTGTACAATATAGTGATTCAACAATTCCATGTATCACCTAGTGCATATCAAGATAAGTATACTCTTAATCCTCTTTACCTATTTTACCCACTCACCCCAACTGCCTCCATTCTGGTAATCATCTGTTCATTCTCTATAGTTAAGAGTCAGTTTTGTGGTTTGTCTCTTTTTTTTACTCCTTTGTTCATCTGTTTCCACATACAAGTGAGATGATACGGTATTTGTGTTTCTCTGACTGGCTTATTTCACTAAATGTTATACTAACTATACCTAGGTTGGTGCAAATGCCAAGATTTCATTTTTTTTAAGTTTTCTTTCTTTATTTTGAGAAAGAGAGAGAATGAGAGATAGAGAGTGAGCAAGCACAAGTAGGGGAGGGGCAGAGAGACAGAATCGCAAGCAGGCTCTGCACTGAACCTGATGCATATCTCAGTCTCACAACCATGAGATCATGACCTGAGCCGAAATGAAGTGTTGGATGCTTAACTGACTGAGCCACTCAAGCAGCCTTTCATTCTTTTGTTATGGCTAAATAGTATCCCATCCGTCAATGGACAATGGACTGATTCCATATTTTGGCTATTGTAAATAATGCTGCAATAAACATAGATACATATATCCTTTTGAGTTAGTGTTTTCATATTCCTAGGGTAAATACCCAGTTGTGTGATTACTGGATCATGTGGTAGTTTTATTTTTAATTTTTGTGAGACATTCAAACTGTTTTCTACAGTGGCTACACCAGTTTCCATTCCCACCAAAAGGACATGAGAGTTCCTTTTCCCTCACATTCTTTCCAACATCTGCTGTTTCTTGAGTTTTTGATTTTAGCCATTCTGACAGGTGTGAAGTGCTATCTCATTGTGATTTTGATTTTCCATTTCTCTGATAATGGGTGATGTTGAGAATCTTCTTATGTGTCTGGTGGCTATCTATCTGTTTGTCTTATTTGGAGAAATGTCTGTTCATGTTTTCTTCCCCTTTTTTAGTTGGGTTGTTTGTTTTTTGGACGTTGAGTTGCATAAGTTCTTTTTAGATTTTGGATCCCAATCCTTGATCAGAAATGTCATTTGCAAATATCTTCTCCTATTCAGTAGGTTGCCTTTTAGTTTTGTTGACGGTTTCCTTCACTGTGCAGAAGCTTCGTCTTGCGATATAGTACCAATAGTTGATTTTTGCTTTTGTCTCCCTTACCTCAGGAGACATACCTGGAAAAACGTTGCTATAGCCAGTTTCAGAGAAATTACTGCCTGTGCTCTCTTCTAGAATTTTTATGGTTTCAGGTCTCACATTTAGGCCCTTAATCCATTTTAATTTTTTTGTATGATGTAAGTAAGTAGTCTGTTATCATGTTGCTGTCCAGTTTTCCCGACATGATTTGCTGAACAGATTTTCTTTCTCCCATTGTATATTCTTGCTTCCTTTGTCAAAGATTAATTGGCCATATAACTGTGGGTTTATTTCTGAATTTTCTATTCTGTTACATTGATCTAAGTTGTCTATTTTTGTGCCAGCACCACACTATTTTGATTACTACAGCTTTGTATTATATCTTGAATTATGAAGGTTTGATTCTGCCAGTTTTGTTTTTTCTTTTCAAGATTGTTTTGTGGTTCTATACAAATTTTAGGATTGTTTGTTCCAGTTTGGTGAAAAATGCTCTTGTATTTTGATAGGGGCTGCATTAAATGTGTAGACTACTTTGGGTAGTACAGACATTTTAACAATATTTGTTCTTCCAATCTATGAGCATGGAATGTCTTTCTATTTCTTTGTGTTGTCCTCAGTTTCTTTCATCACTGTTTTATAATTTTCAGAGTACATGTTTTTCACCTCTTTGGTTAAGTTTATTCCTAGGTATCTTACTATTTTTGGTACAACTGTAAAGGGGATTATTAATTTCTCTTTCTGCTGCTTCATAATTAGTGTATAGAAATGTATTTTCTATCTTGTGATGTTACTGAATTCAGTTAGAAGTTCTAAGAGTTTATTGGTGGAGTCTTTAATGGTTTTCTATATAGCATATCATGTCATCTGCAAACAGTGAAGTTTTACTTCTTCCTTATCAATTTGGATGCCTTTTATTTCTTTTTCTTGTCTAGCTGTGGCTAGGATTTCCAGTACTATGTTGAATAAAAATAGTGAGAATGGACATCCCTGTCTTGTTCCTGACCTTAGGGAAAACCTCTCAGTTTTTCCTCATTACGGATGATGTTAGCTGTCAGTTTTTCATAACAAGGCCTTTATTATGGTGAAATATGTTCCCTCTAAACCTTCTTTGTTGAGGATTTTTATCATGAATGTATCTTGTAGTTTGTCAAATGCTTTTTTTTTTGCATCTATTGAAATGATCATACAGCTCTTATCCTTTCTCTTATTTTTTAAATAATTATTTGAGAGAGAGAATGTGAGTGGAGGGAGGGAGAGAAGGAAGAAGGTAGAGAGAGAGAAAGAATTCCAAGCAGGATTCATGCTGTCAGTGGAGAGCACAATGAGGGGCTCAATCTCACGAATCATGAGATCATGACCTGAGCCAAAAACAAGAAGCTTAACTAACTGAACCACTCAGGTGCCTTAATCATTTATTGATGTGATGTAACATGTGGATTGATTTGTGAATACTGAACCACTCTTGGCTCTTGGAAATGAATTCTGTTGGATACTGGCGAATGATTTTTTAACATGCATTGTTGGATTTGGTTTGCTAGTATTTTGCTGAGGATTTTTGCAACTATCTGCATAAGGGGTCTTGGTCTGTAGTTCTCTTTTTTGGTGGTGTCTTTGTCTGGTTTTGGTATCAAGGTAATGCTGCCTTACAGAATGATCTGGAAGTTTTCCCTCCTTTTTTATTTTTTGGAATAGTTTGAGAGGAATAGGTATTAACTCTTTAAATGTTTGGTAGAAAAATGGGAGGCATCACCATCCCAGAATTTAGCCTCTACTGCAAAGCTGTCATCAACAAGACAGTATGGTATTGGCACAAAAACAGACACATAGACCAATGGAACAGAATTGAGAACTCAGAATCAGACCCACAAATGGATGGCCAACTAATCTTTGACAAAGCAGGAAAGAGTATCCAATGGAAAAAAGACAGCCTCTTTAACAGATGGTGCAGCAACATGCAGAAGAATGAAACTAGATCATTTTCTCACACCATACACAAAAAATAAACTCAAAATGGATAAAGAACCTGAATGTGAGACAGGAAACCATCAAAACCCTTGAGGAGAAAGCAGGAAACAACTTATTTGACCTCAACCGCAGCAACTTCTTACTTGACTCACCCCCAAAGGAAACGGAATCAAGAGCAATAATGAACTACTGGGACCTCATCAAGATTAAAAGCTTCTGCACGGCAAAGGAAACAATCCATAAAACTAATAGGCAACCAGCAGAATGGGAAAAGATAGTTGCAAATGATAATATAAGATAAAGGGCTAGTATCCAAAATCTGTAAGGAACTCACCAAACTCCACACCTGAAAAACAAACAATCCAGTGAAGAAATGGACAGAAGACATGAATAGACACTTCTCCAAAGAGGACATCCAGATGACCAACAGACACATGAAACGATGCTTAGCATCCCTCCTCATCAGGGAAATACACATCAAAACCACACTGAGATACCACCTCATGCTGGTCAGAGTGGCAAAAATGAACCAATCAGGAGACTATAGATACTGGTGAGGATGTGGAGAAATGGGCACCCTCCTACACTGTTGGTGGGAATGTAAACGGGTGCAGCTCTGTGGAAAACAGTGTGAAGGTTCCTCAAAAAATTAACAATAGAACTCTCCTATGACCCAGCAATAGCACTGCTAGGAATTTACCCAAGAGATCCAGGAGTACTGATGCATAGGGGCACATGGACCCCAATGTTCACAGCAGCACTCTCAACACAGCCAAATCATGGAAAAAGCCTAAGTGTCCATCAATGGACGAATGGATTAAGAAGATGTGGTTTATCTATACAATGGAATACTACATGGCAATGAGAAAGAATGAAATCTGGCCATGTGTAGCAACATGGATGGAACTTGAGGGTGTGATGCTGAGCAAAGTAAGTCAGGCAGAGGATAGCTACCATATGTTTGCACGTACAGGAGGATTAGGAGGAACTTAACGGANATAAGTCAGGAAGAGAAAGACAGATACCATATGCTTCCACTTATAGGAGGATTAGGAGGAACTTAACGGAAGACCATGGGGGAGGAGAAGGTGAAAAAATAGTTGGGCAGAGGGAGGGAGACAAACCATGAGAGATTCTTTTTTCTTTTTTAACATATAGTTTATTGTCAAATTAGTTTCCACATAATACCCAGTGCTCATCCCCACAAGTGCCCTCATCCATGCCCATCCCCCCCTCCCCCCCGCATCCATCAGTCCTCAGTTTTTGTCAGCATTCAAGAGTCTCTCAAACCATGAGAGATTCTTAAAGCTGAGAACAAACTGATGGCTGTTAGGGGTAGGGGAGAGGGGAAGGGGGTGATGGGCATGGAGGAGGGCACTTGTTGAGATGAGCACTGGGTGTTCTATGGAAACCAACTTGATAATAAACTATTTAAGAAAAAAATAAAAAAATAAAAAAAATAAACATTTGGTAGAATTCTCCTGTTAAGCTTGTGGTCCTGGACTTTGATTTCACTTTTTTGAATACTGATTCAGTTACATTGCTGGTAATCAGCCAGTTCAAACTTTCTATTTCTTCCTGACTCAGTGTTGGGAGGTTATATGTTTCTGGGAATTAATCCATTTCTTCTAGTTGTTCAATTTTAGGAATATAATTTTTCATAATATTCTATGATCTTTTATAGTTCTGTGGTGTTGGTTGTTATTTCTCCTTTTCCATTTCTGATTTTTTTTTAATGAGTCTGGATTATCATCAATTTTGCTCATTTTTTCAAAGAACCAGCTGCTGGTTTCACAGACTTGTTCTGTTATTTTTTGATTTTTGTTTTTTAGTTTCTTTTATTTCTGTTCTAATCTTTATTTTCTGCTGGTTATGAATTTTGTTATTCTTCTTTTTCTGGCTCCTTTAGGTGTAAAGTTGGATTGTTTATTTGAGATATTTATTTATTCATTCATTCATTCATTCATCCATTCATTCTATAAACTTCCCTCTTAGGACTGGTTTTGTTGCATCCCAAAGATTTTGGATGATTGTGTTTTCTTTTTCTTTTCCTTTTAAGTATAATCTCCATTTTATTTTTTTTTCCAGAAAACAGTTTTTCTTCCATCCTTAAGGACCTAGCTCCTCACATCAGCTTTGGTGGCAGCTGTGAGGTAGCACCTGCAGGTCTAAATTGGGGTGAGGATGTTCATTCTTTCCATGCATCACCAGAGCAATTCCTGATACCTTGCTCTGTAGAGCACAGCTCACATAGTGATGTAGTTTCACATACAGCTTGGGAAGCGCAAAGGCATTGAAGACACTCACTTTGGAAATGTTCCCGACAGGTGGCCTCTACCATGTGCTGAATAATGAACGTCTTTATGGCCTTGTCCTTGTGAATAAAACAGGCACAGGTGATAAAGCAAACCGGCTGCATGTGGCTGTGGCTCTTTGGGGCCTGTTATTCCTTCTTTCCTTGGTCAACTTGGAAGTGAGGACCCAAAAGAGGATAGACCATTGTGATTTCATTTGCATTTCTCTCCAAGTAAATTTTAATTTCTTCTTTGATTTCTTGCTTGACCCATTCATTATTTAGTAGCATCTTATTTAGCCACCATGTATTTGTGTTCTTTCCAGACTGTTTGTTGTGGTGGATTTCTAGTTTTGTAGCACTGTGGTCAGAAAAGATACATGGTATAATCTGGATCTTTTTCAATTTGTTGAGACTTGTTTTGTGGCCTAGTATGTGATCTGTTTTGGAGAATGTTCCAAGTACACTTGAAAAGAAATGTGTATTAAGCTGTTTTAGAATGGAATGTTCTGAATATATCTGTTAAACCCTTCTAGTCCAGTGTGTCATTCGAAGCCACTGTTTTCTTGTTGATTTTCTGTTTGGATGATCTGTTCACGGATGTAAGTGAGTTGTAAACGCCCCTACTATTATTGTATTACTATCGAGTACTTCCTTTAAATTTGTTAACAATTGTTTTATATATTTGGGTATTCTCATGTTGGATGCATAAATATTTACAACACTTGCATTTTTTTCTTAATGTCAACTACATTTTAAGTCCTGGGTAAATGTAGTTAATAGAGAGACTTAGGATTTTCTTATTATAATCAAACACCAAAAAAGGTGACAGAAGAAAAGTATAGGGTTAATATTACTAACAGGTATACTGAGAACCATATACAAAAGATAAGCTTGAAAGTCTACTGTAGAACAGTTCAGGCACAACCTGCCATATACCAAAAGGAGTTACATGTATATGTGGTAAATACATGTTGCCAGATGTTTGTATATATCAAAAGCTATTTCTTTAAGTACTTGGAAGAGAACGGGTAAGTTTTTCTTTCCCTAAACTAAGATCTTCCAGAAAAGTTATACTCTGGGATGTAATACATTCTAATGGACACCAAACGTTATCCAAATAAAAATATTGGACTTATTTAATTGCTAAACAATATTTCCTAAATAATAAGGAAAACTAGATGACCTAAATATTATAAAAGATGAGAGAAGATACATATTTTGAGAAAATTGAATGTAAACTTTTAAATAAACTATAGCTAACAAAAAGTGCATATAAAGGCCTACATTCTCTAAATCCTTAAGTTGTAAATTTCATGCAGTTTTATTGGACAAGAAGAAATTTAAAACTATTGCCAAAATTTTATTTTGATCATGAAAATACTGTCCAAATTTCATTAGGCCCATAAAGACATATTTTACAGAACTATAATTCAAAGGTCAAAAGAGAAAAAGCCTCCAACTAATATGTGAGGACATTCACAAAGGCCAACTTTATTTTCACAAATAGTCTTTATGTTAACAATCCTAGAGAATACAACACAGTACAACAATACCGTAATTAAAAAAAAATCCAAGTATTAACAGACATTTATTTCAAATACATATACTGCCTTTTATTTGAGGGTCAGAAACTGGTTATTTTGATCTTACAGAAACATGATAATTTGTGTAATTCACCTATAAATACAATGTAAAAATTACCAATATTCAAATAGATTAGTTTATCCCCATGGCTAGAAAACAAATGAAAAAAACCCTAATAGTTACATTATGACTTATTTTTGAGGGGAAACTTGAATAATCTCAAAACAAATATTTTCAATAAAGTATTAAAATTATAAATATAATAAAGAAAATAAAACTGTTAAATACTTATTTTGAGTGACGTATAAAACTTGCATATTAATCAAGAATTTGAAAAGCAAAAACTACCATCATTGCACACAATAAAAGCTCACAAACTTCAAACTAATCATTGAAAAGTTTTGAAATGTATTTTGGAACCCCAAAATAGTGAGATTTAAGTATATTTAAAGTATATATAAAGTAGATACGTGGAGCGCCTGGGGGGCTCAGTCAGTTAAGAGTTCAACTTTGGCTCAGGTCATGATCTCATAGTTTGTGGGTTCGAGCCCCATTGGGCTCTGTGCTGACAGCTCAGAGCCTGGTGCCTGCTTCGGATTCTGTGTCTCCCTCTCTCTCTCTGACCCTCCCCTGTTCATCTTGCCTCTCTCTCTCAGAAATAAAGAAAACATTAAAAAATTTAAAAAAAAGTAGATGTTACATAAATCTTTCAAAGTATACCTATTTACATTTACTTTAAAAATACACCAGAAAGGGGGCGCCTGGGTGGCTTAGTCGGTTAAGCGTCCGACTTTCGCTTAGGTCATGATCTCACGGTTCGTGGGTTCGAGCCCCGCGTCGGGCTCTGTGCTGACTGTCAGCTCAGAGCCTGGAGCCTGTTTCAGTCTGTGACTCCCTCTCTCTCTGACCCTCCCCTGCTCACGCTGTCTCTCTCTGTCTCTCTCCTAGAAATAAATAAAAATATTAAAAAAAAAAAAAAAAACACCAGAAAGGAATTTAAAGCACTAGTATACTGTTGGGTTTTAGATAAATAATTCATATTTTAAAATGCAAAATAAAATTCTCCACTCTACTCTCTTAGTTCTAAATTATGGTTTATAGATTATATTTCATTCTAAACTTTAGTATTTACTAAATACATGTGAGAAAGCTTTTTCCTCCCCTTAAAGACTAAAAAGCAGTTCTTACCCAGTATCAGTTTTATTCTGAATAACATTGATATCCTCTGGACTTAGCTCTGGGATCCATTTCTCCATTTCTTCTGTCCAAGGGTATCTGAGAGATGAAGGGACCACTATTAAAAGTGGCCATTCTTCCTTATAGAAGTAAGCAATTGCAATTGCCTGGATTGTCTTTCCTAGACCCATCTACATTAAAAATAAATTTAAAACACATAAATACATAAGTACATAAATAAATGTTGACACATTTTAAATGAAAATACTTATCAAATATATACGTAAGAGTATCATCATCAAAATAATTTTCCAATGTAAAATCAATTAGATTACATAATTAAAAAACTCAGATTATAACCTTTAAAATTCATTAAGAAAATTATATTATTTTCCAATCATCTGTGAATGGACTTAGAGACAAAATAACTTATAATTTAAAATATTACTTATACTTGATTCATATAGTTTAATTTTATAAATATGTATGTGAGCATTTGTAAGTTCTCCTCTGATCACAAGAGTAAATGCCTTACCTATACATCACAATATCATGCTATTTTAAAGCTAGAAGAAGCCATAAATCATGCACATTTTGCAAAACAAGTAAGCACAGAGAGGTTAAATTATCTTTTCAACTTAACAAGTTACTTAACTGGATGCAAAATAGATGAGAGCCCAGGTCTCTGGTAACCTTGCACTTAATTGTTTTCACATTTATATCATAATGCCCCATTTCTCAGCAGTACTCATTTAAAAAGAAGCTACAAAATGAATGTTTTTAGTGGCTTTGTTCATAAAAGCCAGAGTATCAAGACAACCCAAATGTACTTAAATGGGTGCATGGATAAAATCATGGTGTATCCATGTAATAGAATACCATTTATCAATAAAAAAGGAGCAAACTATTGCTATACACAACATGAGTGAAACCCAAACACATTTTGCCAAGTGAAAGAAGTTAAACCCAAAAGCCACTAACCATATGATTCCAGTATTAAGTCATCCAGAAAACACAAAGCAATAGAGATAGAAAGCACATCAGAGTCTAGGGATGGAAGGAGGAGAGCAGCATGAGGGAACTTTGGGGGATGATGTTCCATATTCTGAATGTGGGAGCAGATACATGTCTATATGCATTTGTCAACTTAAAGAATTGTATGTGTTAAAAGGATGAATTTACCTAAGAGAGTGAATTATACCACAACAACAGTGACTGTTTAGAAAAAGTAGTTATTGTGAGCCATGAGAAAGAGAAGGACAAAAAGACATACGCCCTCCTGACTTGATGGCTCAAAGAGAAAAAAGATACAGATAGCTAAAACAGTTAATTTACACTAAGTTTTAAATGCTGAGCAAAATTAAAGAAAAAAAGATAAAAAGGAAGTTTGGGGCTTTTAGCCAATCTCCACTAAGAAAATCTTGTTTTGTTTGTTTATTTTTCGTTATCTCCTGCTATTAACAACAAAGACAAATCCTAAAATATTCAAGCAAGTTTATATTCATATCAATCACACGCAAAAAAAAAAAAAAAAACTAGTGTGAATTACTTAGGAAAATATTCTTTTGATTGGAATTAAAACTGCCAAAGGGAGACAAGGTAAATGAAATGTAGGAAGTGACTTTGTATCTGTCCTGGTGTTCGGTAAGTACTCAGATATTTGAATGTATAAGAGAATTAATGAGTAAATAAAGACCAAGGTTGTTCGATTCTGTGGGACAGGAAAAACCCAGGTAGAGAAAATTTAGGAGAGAAGGTTAACGAAAAGATTTTAGTGCAAGAGCAGTAATATTAGCTAACATTTCAAAGTTCTGAGGCAAATAACATTCAAGAATAGAGTGAAAGCTATCTAAAGCTTTTAATGTATGGAAGTAACCTAAGTGTCCGTCAATGGTTGAACTGATAAAGAAGCTGTGGTATGTATATACAATGGAATATTATTCAGTCTTGAGAAAGAAGAAAACACTGCCTTTGACACAATCTGGATGGAATGTGAGGACATTATGCTAAGTGAAATGATCCAGACAGACAATGATAAATAATGCATGGGATCACTTATACATAGAATCTTTGGGGGAAAAAATGAAAAGAAAAGAAAAAAACACCAAACTCTTAGTAACAGAGTAAAAAAGTGGTTGCAAGGGCTAAGAGACAGGAAAAATAGGGAGAGCCTAGTAAAAGGGTACAAACTTTCAGTTATAAGATGAATAAGATCTGAGGACCAGAGGTAAAGCATTTTGACAGTGGTTAATAACACAGAGTTGTATGATTGAGGTTTGGTGGGATGGCAGAACTCAGATGTTCTCACAAAAACAAAATCAAAACAAAACACCAGAAAAGTGTAGATATGGGAGATGATTGATGTGTTAAATGTATGGGAGGAATCCTTTTACAATGTATACATCAAAAGTCTATACTTTCAGGTATCATTTCTATAGTTTGTTACAATGTATACATCTGTCAGGTCACATAATGTATAATTTATATGTCTTGAAATTTGTTTTTCTTTTATACCTCAATAAAACTAAAATTAAAAAAAATACTGGATATATAAGCTTTTAATATTGAAACAGGGGGCGCCTGGGTGGATCAGTAGGTTAAACGTCCAACTTCAGCTCAGGTCATGATTTCGCGGTTCGTGCCTTCGAGCCCTGCCTCGGACTCTGTGCCGACAGCTAGCTCAGAGCCTGAAGCCTGCTTCAGATTCTGTGTCTCCCTCTCTCTCTGATCCTCCCCTGCTCGTGTGGTCTCTCTCTCTCTCTCTCTCAGAAATAAATAAAAACATTTAAAAAATTAAAAAAAAAGAATCTTCAAAAAAACATTGAAACAGGATCCAGTTGCAGATAAAAATTGTTTCTTATCTACTATTTGAAGAATAAATTCATGTTAAGTTAGGCAGGGTTTGGTAACAAGTTAAAATAACTTAGGAATGTAGACACACAGACAGATATGTATTTTATTACAAAATTAAGGGTGCCTGGATGGCTCAGATTTTTCAGCTTCCGACTTCAGCTCAGGTCATGATCTTGTGGTTTGTGAGTTCAAGCCCTACGCTGGGTTCTGTGCTGACAGCTCAGAGCTGAGCATGCTTTAGATTCTATGTCTCCCTCTCTCTCCTCCCCTCCCCTGCTTGTTCTGTCTCTCAAAAAATGAATAAACGTTAGAAAAATTTTTTTAAACAAAATTAAATCATTTTACAACCTAATATTCTATACCTCTTTCTAAGGAATAGCTTATCAACCCTATCCTTTAGGCCTACATACCCAAATTTAAGATTTAACTGATGGTAGCAGACCTAATCCTAAGAGAAATAAATAACATTTACATTACTTAATTTTATAAACCCAAAACAAAGAGCAATTATGCACCAACATCTGATATAATGACTGGTATGTTTTCTTGTTCTCAAAAGCCCTTCAGTCCTCATAGGGCAACCAACTTAAACATCCCTGGATTCTGGGACCAGTATGGTTTCAAGGGAGCAGAAATTCACAAATTGCAGATGTTTGGGGTCATTGGTATTGCTGCTCACACCTAACGACGACAAAGGCATACAGTTCCAGAAAACAAGCCATGGCCAACTCTGTATGTAAGGACCATACCACTAAGTAACTCTCTGCCACAGCTAGAGTTACCTGGCTTTGCTTCCTACAGTGGGTTTACAGGTCATTTTCTTAATTTTAACTTCTTTGGAAATGAGGATCTGTTTGCTACACTAATTTTCTGGGAAGCAGGATTCTTTGGGGACTCAGATTCTATCACTGGATCTTTACCTTCTGGCTTGCTGATAAATTTACTTGGTGCCTTTCTACGTGGACCTTTTTGCACTTCATGTAGTGTGATGAACTGTTCTCTATGTTAGCTTAATCTAATAATTCATCTAATAATGAATCACTTAACTAAATTTCCTAATATGATCTGCTACTGACATAGGGACACAGATTTTCAAAAAGGATGTATGGGGAAAAAAACTAAAACAAATAGAAAAAAACACAGTTCGGAAAAGAGAAGTTATGGACTAAGAAAGGGGAAGAAAGAGGGAACTAGCAAAAATAAAGGATAAGAATAGTTATGATATATGGAAAAGCTAATTAGAAGAGTGATTTTTATCTCCTAGTTCCCTAATCCTGCTGTCCTGTATATTTGCTACTATACTACACCAACTGAATAAATTCTTAATTCCAAATATGTCATTTTTCAGCTCTAAAGTGGTCATCAGACTCTTTTAAGACATATTTTTAGATTCTTTTTAATAGATTAAATTCCATATTGAAAATCTTCATTTTTCATTTCTGTTGTCTACCACTCCTTGATTTTCCTGAATAAAATAGTGTTATTTTAAAATCTCTTTCTGATAACACCAACACCAATATCTGATCACCTGTGGATTCTATTACCTATTTTTTTTGGTACTGTTTTCTCAGGATCCCTTATATTTTTAATTGGATTCCAGAAATTAATTGTAAATAAACTGTAGAAGCTTAAGATGATATCTTCGCCTAGGTGGAAATTAGGTTAAGTTTTCTTTTGGCAAGGCAAATTGAGTACTGGCAGATACCTTATTCCGTTGAGGTCTTGGTTTTGGGTTTTATAAGAGCAATTTATTTCAGTTTTGTGATTACTAGGGTACAGTCTTTACTACTAGGGGGTGTACTTCTGGAAGTCACCATAAGCTTAGGCAATGTATTTACCAAGATTCTTCTACCTTGACAAGGCACAAGCCTTATCTGTCTCCAGAGTACCACAATAATGCTGAAATCTCTGCCTTATTCTTTCTCCTTCAACTACAAATTTCTGCTGGGTATTCTGAAGTCACACCCTGAGCAAGTACACTTTAGGGGATGGCCAGTGATGTGAGGGTAATATGTATGCAGATTTCTCAGGTCTTTCTCTCAATTTGCCTCCTCTCTGGGAGTTTTCTCTTCCTGTCCCAGCGGTTCAATGCATAGTTTGAGAGCCAGCCAGAGCTAGACAGAGTAGTTTCTGACAGAAACAGGTAAAAGCAGCCTGTGTCAACCATGTGGCATATGGCTTTAAGAGGAGAAAGAACTGAATATACAGTGATAGATCCAGGCACCTGAAGAAGAATAGAAAGCCAGTTTGGGGAACTATGAATGTACTATTTCATCAAGTTTAGGAAATTCTAAATATTGTTTTACTGTTCCCAGCTATCTTATCACATGATGTCTTA